CCACGGTTGTGAAGAAGCTTTGGTTCCTGATGGACATTCCGGACAACAGACGTCGGAACTGGACAATCGGAAAGAAGACACTGTGGACTGACAACGATCTATTCCTCGCAGCTTATTTCATCGTGCAGCTGGATATGCTGTTCACGGACAGCCGCGCGAGGAAGAAGCAAGGTAGCATGCGACGCCTGCTCATGGCCCAACCCAGCTTGACTCTGCTGTGGGATGTGCTCAGGGACGGCGCGTTGACTACGCATTACGAGACACTCAAGGCATACGTGCGCTGGCAGTACACTCCCAGGGCACATGAAGCGGGTTTGTTTGTCTTCGGCGTGCCACCCAATGAGGTCGGTTCTCTACAGTGGGAAGGATACGGCCGAATGGCAAGGAATGTCAAATTTCTGCGACCCGACGAGCTGGTTTTGAGAGAAATCAAGGACCGGAACCTTGACACGCAGCGTATGTATGTGGACATTATTCTATCTAATGAGCTTGAGCCCAAGGAGGGTGCTTCATCATACAGGTGGCATGAGGAGATCATGAAGGAGTTTGGGAACTTGCCTTGGATGCAGGTCGTGAACGTGAAATGACTTAATGACTGAACGACTGCATGACTGAGGCACAACGAGACCTGTTATGTTCAAGACATGTAGGTGTTGGCTTAGGATTGGGAGAATCGAGGCAGCTTCGTGGATGGTTCCGGTGTTCTGTCAGTGTAGATACAGTATCGCTCTTTCAAGCGGACAATGTAAGTACTACTCGATACTTCTAAATATCACCATGTAAGGTTCATCTTTTGTATGAAGTTTACCTAGACCCGTTAAAATGGGAAGTACTCGACCCTTCTCCGTCAACAGCTGTGCTAGTGAAGTATTGGGTACTCTATAAGTAAGCTATTAGATGTAGGTAGGGTACGGCACCGCACTGCAGATATTCTTTTCTCTCCAGTATATATATATTAAACAATCGTAGCTATTATTCCACATACAAGTCCTTACATATAGCCATTCGCTTTCTTTGCTCTCTTCATATTGATTTCCCCGATTTCCTAAGCTTTTTTATGAAGTGCAAGGGCTATAATGCCAAGGCCTATACAGAGGACAAAAAGTTCAGCGTAACTACAATTGATAGTCAGAAGGACTATAACTATAACCATACTAAGGAGAAATGCATTAAGTTAACTATGGGCTAGAGGCTTTATTACATGCATGCCAGTATGCCCATGTATATACTACTTTCTAGCCTACCTAGACTACTGCACAGTGTCACTTGTGCAAAAACAGTACCTAGGTACCTAGTATCTTGATATACACACACTTATTTGTGTCGTATCGAACTTTGTAAGGTGGCACATAAGGTCGCACTTTAGAAACGACACCCTACATACCATAGTAATTCTGTTAAACTCTCTGGCAGTCAATGCAGACTCCCTCTCTAACCAGTAACCAGCTTCGCCAGTTTTAGCCATTATGCTCAGTAGTCCTTAGTGCATTCAGGTACAAAGTAATACCTGCCCACCCTTACACCATTATAGGCAGTCCACAGTCACACACAGTTCAATAGCATGACAGATCTGACAATACAGCACACGTGGCTCTGGATGTATATCTAGGTATGATTCTGATAGCATATTCTAGGCATAAAGACTAATTACTGGTTTCTATCATCTTTCTACAAGCGGACAGGAGGACACTATTATCATATAAGTATAGAGAACCCCTTGAGGTACTCTAAGGCTTCATGGTTTTCAGAGAAAAGAAGACACATATATCTACACAGGTTTGTGCTTCTCATACAGGAAAGAAAACAACATATAAAATAATATAAATATCACATGATGTAGAACAGATCGACTATCAACCTGTGTAAAGAAGATGTCTTCAAAAGTACTGGTAATAAAGGCTGTCATAGACATGATCACAAACACCTCCATAAACCGTCTAGTCTTGTTGGCCTTGGGAGGGTGAGGATCAGAGCTGTTCCTATCTTCTATCTTCATGTTGCTATATGGTAAAGGAACAAGTGCTGTACTATATAAGGTAGTGGTGTGTTAACCGATTGTGTCTTCGCTCAACTTAAGATAGGTGCAGCCTACCTAAACCCAGCAGGTATTTCAACTGTAGTCTGAGTTGATGGTGGATAGTGTGAAATAGCTCATACAGAAGTTTGGGACTTCACAGGAGGAGACGGAGCATAACATTCACTGACTTGAAGGATATATAGTTTAGGGCCAGGGGCAACAACAAAGCAGGCGATAGTTAGAATACTAGGGTAAGTGTATATACCAGAGCAGTGGATGTCTGTATCTGGGTTATGTGCCTGGCCACACTTCACGTAGCATGTGTTGACAAACAGGACAGAAAATGCCTTAACAAGATTTTGTAATGTAATCAGACACCAAACTGGTCAGAATACTAAGCTAGCTGGCTGATCACCCTTAATAATATGATCCAAACTCCCATTTTGATCAGTATCACCAAAATTACACTATAAGTACCAATGGCTGCTATGCTGAAAGAAAAGTGACTCTAATTAGCACCTTAGGTTTACTAAAAAGGCCAAATCTTATCTATTACAAAGGTACTAAAGGGCTTATAATGTGCCACCATCCATCTTAAAGACATGCACCGAAGGGACCCCTTCTTGTATTAACTTGACTCTAAATTACCGCAAACTCACCTTTATAGAAGAGGCCATACTTCCCCACATAGCTTCTTAATACGGAGTGATATACGGAGGGGTACACCATATTTTGAAAAATATATCCGAATAACAGCCTCACTACCTTAGTAAATTACTACAGGGTGATGATGACGACGATGATAATTTCATAGACCGACCCCTCTCTATCAATTGGATCACAGGTCACGTGATATATATGCTCTATTGGGACGTGGCATCCTAATAGGCTGCTACTCGGGGATGGCCAGGCCAAATCACGTGCTGTCGGAGCGGACTTTCTTGTCTCCGCAAGTCTGAACAAGAATGGGAGCCACAACTTGACGTACTCCCATACCATCAACCATCATCTCGTATACTTGCCAATAGGTTCCAAGATATGACATATCACCATAAGATAGAATTTGGATCAGAGGGGGAGGGTACTACTGTACTTTTTCCTGATGCTTGTCACATTTGGGATGGTCGATGGTCGCCAGCCGCGCAGTCCTCGGCACTACCCTGACCCAGCCCACCCTGTCCGTTGTTCCGCACATCAACACCACGAATTAAGACGTTGAATTGCTACGACGCTACCTGGGAGGACTGAAGCTTCCACGGCAATCGCATTGTTGTTTATTGATTTATTTCTCAATCCCCCATGCAAAAAAAGCACACTTTCGTTTCAATGATTATTCATCAGGTATGCGTCTCGCATGATTGCATCCAAGATGTGAGAACTGCTAGTACAGAGACTAGTTCACAGATCAAGTCCACGGACAGTCTCTCACGGAGTGACAAGGAACTCGGCTAAGTATACTGAGCCTCCATTGTACCTTTATCAGTCAAATCTGGTTTACTGGCTTCGCCTGAAGTTGACCGACATGCGAATATTCGCAGTAAAAGACTGTCGACTTGTTTGTGTGTTTTCGTTCGTGGGTAGATATCAACAGCAAAGACCAAGTATCACTCTGCTGATGTACCCATTTTGTGGATCGATAAGAAGTTCCGGACTGGCGCTCCCTTCTGGGCACAGCTCAAGATGTCTCGCCCACTGAGCTCATACAGGTGGCAGCGGATTAGAACTGACTATATTTGAGGGTTCTATTGCAGCTTAGGCTGGTGAACAAGTACTAACAAATCAGGGAGGGCCATGGTCTTGCATTCAGATTTCGTTGACGGGATTAGTCCTAAACGTCCTTGAGCGTCTCCCTGGTCGCGCTCTGCGTTTGTCTTTTGCTTGCCGTAGATAGGGGCTTTTTCCCGACCATTGGAGCACGAAAGATGTCTTTCGCAGGCAAGAGGCTCCTGAGCCAGGCGCGGGAAAGAATCTGGAAGCTGACCATCTGGGGAAGGATGACGCGAGCATCAGCTCGGGCCTCACCTTTCTTGAGATTGGTCAAGGAAGAGATAAGGCGCGGAAAGAGCAAAGAGTGAGAGAAACAGGGCAGTCAACGATCTCCAGACCGTGCCTATTTCTAGTCGATGGTACCGGCCAAACACGAGGCATAATTGGGCGCTTCTTCATTGAAGGACAGTGTTCCATGCTGGCCAAGCTGAGTGAGCAGAACCCGTGGCAGCAGCATTGTACTTATGGTGGCTCGGTCTTCCATCGCCCTCTGCTTGAAGCCAGAGTTCATCGAGCAACATTCGTAGTAGATCCGACACTGCTCGTCAGGCGAACACGGCATTGGAAGCTCAACTGTGGGAAGAGCGGAGTATTAGCTTGTCGACTCGTCAAGTGCAGTCGTGCTATGTCAGGCGTGCACTTGATGGCTCGAACGTCTTCCACGCAGCATCCTACCGCATAGATGAACAACTAGTAGAGTCAGTACCGTCACTGGTCGGCGTGACAGTTACTATTCACAAGTCACATAATCTTGAGGTGTGGCCTTTCGATTTGAGTGAAATCCCCAGGTGCGTCTTCTCTCAGGGGATTTTCCATCGAGGCTTTCCCCACTAATCCTTACCTACCTTTGACTGAGTGACTTACATTCTCATGTTCCCTTACTTCATTTTTTCTTTTTCTCTTTTTTTTTGGGGGGTCACTGCGCACTACTTACAGTGATATACTCTCAATCAGGGCCCTTCCCACCTCGGAAAAACCACCCTCCGCTACATCCATTCATGCTTCTTTCCCGCCCGACAAGACTTACCAGAAGTGAACGCGGCCGACACACGCTCCGAATTGACTAGACGAAGGACAAGGCTCCACCAGAATCTCCTACGATCACACTTACACGCTAATTCATCCGTTCTCCAGTCGGCGGGTTCATCCCATGCCCACTGCCTTTATTTCATACTATATCTAGTTTTTAAAACCAGATGCACCTCAAGAAATTTTCATGGCTGGGTCCGGTAACAGTCCGCTGTTGAGAGACCAGTGGAGCGCCCCCATCGACACCAGAGACCAGAGGGACCGAGGAAGGCAGAGGCCTCGAGGGTCGAACCGTGATAGAGGGAGGGACAGATTCCGCGACAGAGAGCGTCGTCGCCGGTCCAAAGGGAACGGACCTATTCCCCCGTTACGGTCGCCGCCACCTTCGCGTGCTCACCCCCAATCAGAGCTTGGAGGACCTCGTTCATACCGTGAATTCTCTCCTAATAACATCTCTGCGCGTGGTTCATCCGGTCTGCCGTACTCTGAGCCCAGACAGCGGCAGAATCAAGATCATCACCAATTTGCCGAGCCTCAGCCTTTGGCAGGCGAGAAACCGACCGGAAGAGATTATCGAAGGGACAACTCTCCATCTGCACCTCCTCCATTCAAGCGAAAGAGAACGCAGAGTCCGTCCCCGGTGAGATCCTACTCACCTCGGCAAGACCCTAGCCATCACCATCCAGCTTCGGAGCAGTTTGACGAATTCGGTCGGGGCTACCCTCATAAAAAACGTGGACGATTTCCGGGGCGTGGCAGGGCGCGTCGAAGGTCTCCTAGAAGAGGAAGAGACCGGCGTAGGAGGGAATCCGATCGGTTCAAGGGTCCCAAGTCCCCTGTGCCGGGTCCCAGGTCACCGAGGAACCCCCGTGAGCGATTTAACAGCCCGGACCCTGCAGGCGACATCGACCAAGAGTATCGCCATCGATCGACTTCGCGCCATTCCATTAACTCGGCTGCTTCAAGATTTACAGCGATCTCGTGTCACAGCTCGAGGATTGACGCAACAATGAATCCTAGACCAATCCAGTCTGCGATGGACAGTTCTTTCAGATCTCCATCTCCACCTCGACCAGTCCCCAGATTCGATGCTGTAATTGCTGGCGTCCCTCCAGACGGAGACCCCAATGCGCGTGAAACGTTCCCTTTCCATGCAGAGCGGGCATTGAATGCCAATAATAACCAGCGCTCTCACCCCTCACGACCACATGCGGATACGAGTCAATACTCCACCTCACCAAAGTACGGCCCATCCAGTAATTCCTATCAGGGATCCCCTCAATCTACGTCACCTCACCCTGGAGGACGTGGGGGCTTGAGTGGGCAATCTCCTTATCCCAGGCCGCAAGGGTGAGTTTGCTTCTTTACTAATTCAGAACCACTACAACATTTAGTGCAAGGCTAACATTGAGGTGCGCACAGGTCTGCACATTCGTCTCCATATCGTCAAAACAATTATCCTTCTCAGGGCGGCTCGCAAGACCAGTACAATCAAGGTCAAGCTCCGCCGACTGGTCCAGCCAACCACCCTCAATCGTATTCGGGTCCTTCTTATCGTGGTGGGCATTCAGGTTATCGTGGAAACTTCCAAAGTCATGGCCGCGACCGGCGATTTTCTGGCTCTGGTCACTCATCCTACAATACTGGGCCGTCCGGGCGAGGCCGTTTTAACAGTTTCCAATGGAGCGCTCGCGGCCGCGGCGGCTCTCACAGTCCTCATACCACTCATGCAGAGCCCTCACAAAGCCCTGCGCCCCTCCCAGGGGCAGATGAACAGAGTTTCGTAGGTGAGGGAGACAGAGACCAAGCTTTCGGGTCTCCGAGCAGAGATCTGCAAGGCGTGGATCAAGGTTCAAAACCATTTTCCGAGGATGGGGATTTTCAGAAGATGTCTCGACCTACACAACCATCCGACACCAACTCCACGCCAAATAAAGGCGGCAAGTTTAGCTTCGCCTTCAAAGCCAAAACCACGCCTGCCCCTGCCCCCAAGCCAGTTCCGGATCTGGCACAGAGGATGCAGGCTCGAGAACCCCCACCTCGTGTTGCTGAGCCTCCTCGCAGCAGAGTGCCTCTTGGCCCACCGCCGCGGTTCAAGCCCGAGCCGCGCTTTGATCGCCGCGATCGAGACAGAGACCGGGATCGGCATCGAAATCGAGATCGGGACAGAGGGAGACGCGACCGGCGAGACTTTCGACGAGAGCCGCCTGATTTCCGTGAGCCTAGAGATATTCGTGACAACCGAAAGGAAGATCGCCGCTTTGACCAGCGACATGACGGCAGGAAAGATGATCGCCGGCAGGACCCTCGTCCACCTCGCGGTCCTCGGGGACGTTCTCCGGGCGTGAAGCAACCCCGAATATTGACCCGACCCAAACCTCGTCCTACTCTTCCAGAAGAGTACGCGAAGTCCGATTCCGTTTATTACCGAAAGCCAGGGAACGAGTCCGTTATTGGTGCTGGCACCTACGGAAAAGTGTTTAAAGCAATACATGTCTATACCCAAAGGAAGGTGGCTCTCAAAAAGATACGTATGGAAGGCGAGAAAGACGGGTTCCCTGTTACGGCTGTTCGAGAAATCAAGCTCCTGCAGCATCTTCGTAACCATAATGTGGTCAGTTTACTCGAAGTTATGGTCGAGAGGAATGAGTGTTTTATGGTCTTCGAATATCTTTCGCACGATCTCACAGGTCTCATCAATCACCCGACCTTCACCCTCACTGCTGCTCACAAGAAGGATCTCGCCAAGCAAATGTTTGACGGCTTGAACTACCTTCACCACCGGGGCGTTCTGCACCGCGACATCAAGGCAGCAAATATCCTTATCAGCAATAGGGGCTTGTTGAAGTTCGCAGATTTTGGATTGGCGCGGTTTTTCTCTAAGAGTCGCCAACTTGATTACACCAACCGTGTGATTACGATCTGGTATCGGCCACCGGAGCTTCTTCTCGGAGAGACTAGATACGGCCCCGCCGTAGACGTTTGGAGCGCGGGCTGTGTGTTCGTCGAATTGTTTACAAAGAAGGCTGTCTTCCCCGGAGAAGGGGGCGAAATCAGTCAGCTTGAAAAGCTCTACACCTCTCTTGGGACGCCAACCCGGGCTGAATGGCCTGACCTTGTGGAGATGCCCTGGTTTGAGCTCATGCGGCCGACGGAGCGCAAGAAGCGAGTCTTTGAAGACATATACGGCGAAGTACTGTCTCCGGCGGCTTTGGACCTAGTTTCTCAGATCTTCCGATACGATCCTGCGAAGCGACCCTCAGCGGAGGAAGTACTGACGCATTCCTATTTCGTGTCAGAGGAGCCAGCTCCGCAACAAGCCGTCGAGTAAGTTTTTCTAAGTATATCTTCTATTGGACTATGACTAACAGTTGCAGGTTGGAAAATATCGAGGGTGACTGGCACGAATTCGAGTCCAAAGCACTGCGCAAGGAGAAGGATAAGGAAGCTCGTCGCGCAGAGTATCAGAAAGATAAAGAGAAAAGGAAAGCCGCTCTGTCAGCTCCGCAAAGCGAACGGGAGACGAAGCGCGTCAGACAAGATGTGGAGGAGAACCCACAGCCCTCGGCACAGCCTACTGAACAGTAGGTTCATGTTTTGTGCTCTTCTGCGCCGCATATATGCCTCAGGAGTCATGGAATGCTTTGTCGTCATTGCGACACTACATAATCCATTGCCTGACTCGCCACAGGCGTCAGGTGTTGATGAGACTTTCGTCTTCATATTACAAGCAAACATGCTGCTCCGAATCTCGCCTGTTCTGCTCTGAACGGAAGAGGACGGAGCGAGAGAAAGTACTCTAATTCTGTGATGTAACGGGTGGCACGAGCAGGATCTGTGGGATCTAGCTGACATATCCTTCTATACTGAATTGAGAGCCTGTGTGACAGGCAAATGTATAGACTCAGCTTAAATTCGATCCAAATTATTCTAAGAGACATTGAAAAATGATCATACTCTTTTGACCCGGTAGATACCACTGGCGGATGATAGACGGACAACCACACGCTTATGTTCCATCATGTTGCACGGCGTTTAAGGTTTAAGAGGGCGAGTCGTATAATTAGAGCATTAAACCTCCAGGAGAATCCAGAAAATTGGAGAGCTGAAGTTACATACTACGTGATGATCTTGTCAGCAACAGAGAAATGAAGAAACAAACAGACAGTCATGAAGTATTTCAGCGTCTTGCGACAATCAGACTTTGCCTTTGAACCTCACGCTCAACCAGCCAGGCCATTACAGCACGATAGAGGCGGTTGAGCACCTCGGATTACCAGAGTACGAGTGCTTCGTCATGCATGCAAGGAGAACAACAAACAGGAAATGCCAATGTGGCCCACGATGGAGGACGGAAAGGGACGCACGCACCGGCTCTACAAAACGAAACACGAATTGTTAATTTGTTACCACTGAGTAAATTCATTCAAGAAGGGGTATGGCTGCTGCGCATTGGAACCAAATCATATTGGATCAAAGTAAATAAATGGGTATTCTAGAGGATGGAATGTCCCGTCATTCAGGTCATCACCGCATCATGGGTAGCCAGAAAGCCCTCGTGATGATGGTTTTAGACGCGGGGATTCTGTAGAGAATTCATCTCGACGCACTCATCGGAATCGCCAGAGCAGTGGAAGCGGTAGAAACATACGCAGCCAGCGATGATTTGAGTCGGTGGTCTTGGGTTTTGTTAAAGAAGAAGAAAAGAAGAGGGAGAAAAAAGAGAGGATTTCCTTTTAAGAAGGGGGAAAAAAGGCAGGAAAAAAGATGGTGCGGGCGGAGAAGGGCGGGACGGATGGTGATTGGCTGGATGGCAGAGGAGGGGAGCGGCAGAGCTCGAAGGAAAGGTGAAAGGCCAATAACTGGTGGATTTTGGGCAGTGGAAATGGTCCTTGAGTTCCTTGAGTGGTGATGATTCTGCTTTCTAGGTTTCTTAAGTCTCTATACATACGTACAACCATCACCATCACTACCACTACCCTTACCACTACCTACCATCTAAGCACCTACACCCTACATTCACTCTGCTATTGCTCTACTAGTAGTAGTATTCCACCGAACTCGTCCTTACGTGACCTATTACCTACCTTACAGTAAACCCGCATTACCTCTTGTCCCCTCCGCACACAATCACACACTTACCTACTCACACCTCGTTAACGATCACGATCACGAATTTTTTTTTACTATTTTTATTTATCTTTTTGACCTAGCATCGATCTCGCCCATTAGCTTTCTCTTGTTTTTCAGATCTTCCGGCCGTTTCCTGCCGTTTTTTGAGGACTTGGTATTGCCGACTCTTTTTTCCGCCTGTCCTGGTTTCGCCCTGCGATAGCAGCTTCTCCTCGCATCTGCTTGCCGCGCCTTTTTTCTCTCCCTGATGACCGTTTGCTTTTCGACGGTCTGATTACCTAGCGCCATGGATAATGCAAACTTGTGGACTCGCAGGGCCAAGTATGTCCAGGATTTTCGTCATTTACAAGCCATGCCGTTCGGCGCGAGACTAACCTGTGTCGTGTGTCTTTCAGTTCCGCCAAATTGTCTCTGTCCATGACGGGAACCGACGCAAAGGACGGTGGCGCAAAAGTCGATCTTCCCCGCAGTCACACATCAAAGCGTTTCGGCCCGGATAGCTCGCACGGTGGTCGATCGAATCCCTTCAATGCATTATCCCCCCTCTCCGGTGGCGTGTCTTCTCCTTCCACGAACGCTTCCTCCGCGTTCGGCTTGGGTTCCGGCGCATTCGCGTCCTTTGGTACTCCCAAGACGCCTGGCACCAATGCGTCAGACCTGAATTCGTCCAAAGCGCTGGGGGAGAAGCGAGAGACGGCTTCGGAGCACGATTCGGCAGCGGAAGTCAAGGCCAAAGCTTCAGCCTCCTCCCTGACTGGCCCGAAGGAGCATGCTCTGAAGTCTACGTGGGTGATCTGGTACCGTCCCCCGACACCCAAGTACTCTGACTATGAGAAGTCGACCATTCCCCTTGCGTCTATATCCTCGGTCGAGAGTTTCTGGTCGATATACACACATCTCAAGCGCCCATCGCTCCTCCCCACCGTCTCCGACTATCACATTTTCAAGAAAGGCATTCGTCCTGTATGGGAGGACGATGCCAACAAGAAGGGTGGAAAGTGGATTGTTCGGCTGAAGAAGGGAGTTGCTGACCGGTATTGGGAGGATCTTTTGTTGGCCATGGTTGGTGACCAGTTCGCGGAGGCTAGCGATGAGGTCTGTGGCGCCGTTCTCAGTGTAAGGAGCGGAGAGGATGTGCTGAGTGTCTGGACCCGGATCGACGGTGGGCGCAACATCAAGATCAGGTAAGTTGTCATATTTCACTCTTGATTGGCAAGACCCGTGGCACTCACTCTGCGCAGGGAGACGATCAAGCGTCTGCTTGCCTTCCCGGCCGACACCAACATCGTATGGAAGAGCCACGATGACAGTATTGCTCAGCGCTCCGCAATTGACCAGGCTCGCCAGGAGAAGGCGGCCGGAAACGCGGGCCATCATCACCACCACCTCGCAGGGGACCGACGAAGACCTACAGCGAATGACGAGTCCATGGGAGATAAAGGAAAAGCGGCGGCGTCTTGATTTACATGGTTTGATTCTCATTGAATGGTCCTGTATAGTAAAGAAGACGAAAACATTGGGACGTTTCTGGGCTCGGGGCATTGGGGCGAATCATTGCGTCTGACTTTCTGGTTGCTTTCTCATTTCTCCTCTTGTGTTTCTTCTTCTTTCTCATCTCGCGGTTCCCTGGTTTCTTTTCTCATTTCTTTTGGGCAATACGAGACGTGATGCAGGTCAACGGACAGCGCTGGATCAAGCGCAAATGTAAAATCATATTTTCCCACGAAGCTCCCATACACTACCAGCGTACCATTGATTCTATGAGCTCATGCTCGAATGGGTTACAGTCAGATGCTATTCTTATACGTAGGATACCTACTAGCACGCTCTGTAGTCCGGTCTTGTTTGCTCAAATGATCTCCACCCAATGACGATGCGGAATCACTGCAGCTTCCGCGTGCTTTTTTATTTTCATTTTCTTACCCGCAGGGCAGAAAATAACCGGCCGACCGCCTTACTTGTTATCCATGCAAGATATGATATTGGTCTCTTCCAATGATGTCTCTCTTGCTTCCGGTTCTATTATTTCTTGCCCACTCGTTGAAATCCAGAGTATGGTAGATCAACTTCAACTTTAATGAACCCTGCTCTCTTTACATGCCACTTTTTGGGTCAATATCGCAGTTTCTGGCCCCGCTGATTTCTCCCAGTCGCCGCTCAAATCATCAGAATCCCATCCCCGCTCCGCCATCAGATGCCACTTCTGATGAGCTACAACGGACTCAGGTGTCCGGCGTAAGCGATGCTCCTCGTCTAGGGTCTTTTGCGTCTGTCATTCAATCCGGGATTGAACCACCTATCCAAACCCCTGATGTGAGTTGGGATTATGTCCTTTCAATTGTTCTAATTTCTTCTCCTATTGCCTATACCCTCTTGCGTATACATTGTACAATCATGATACGCTTTGGGCATGCTCCTTTTCATTCTGCCTCTGCAGCGACGCAACGAGACTCACTGGATCTTATGCTTTAGAATCTCCATCGCTATGCCGAAAGACTTCGACCTTCCTCAGAATCTCGACCTGTACGTTTACTACTACGTCAGACCATTCCTCGATTACGTTTAGGGATGAGTCGTCTGTAAATATGGCCTCACACATGCGGATGCGGTTTGCACAACGCTTATACGAAGGATACAGGTCTACACAAGATGCGTCGATGCGACGGGACCGCGCAATTTCACGCCAGGACGAGCAGAGATTATTCCCTTCCTATTCTACACGGTACGTCACCAAGAAGCTGTCGTATGTCGGGATATTTGTGCGGCTGGGAGCTGACTTTCTGGGAACTCTCTTCTAGTCCAAGTCCGAATGGAGTACCGATAGTACCTGGCGAGACATTCAAGAAATCCCCGGGAGAGACATCTAAGAAAAGGAACCCGTTACAGGTATGGTACTCTCGAAATTCGTTCGTTATCTTATGACTAGACTGACGTCGAGGTTTGGTAGAATGTCAAGGGTGCCTTCAAACCAGTGGACAAGCTTTCTCCCAAAGGTCGAGAGAGCGGGCCAGTACGTGCACGGGGAATGCAGGGAAACCGCGGGGGGTATCAGACATTTTCTGGGGTCAATATACCTCGTCCGCAAACCCTTCTAGAGCATGACCTTTCGGAGAGACCCATAAAGCGCCGGCGTCGAGACACTCAGAGCTCTCCAACCGAAAGTTTCATCGACCTTTCCGATGATAATGAAACAGGGCATTCCATTACTGAGTCATCCTCGGTCTTTGGAAACGCCGCACGTCTGTCACCCGGATCAAGCCAACAGTCACTCAAATCTCATAAGTCAAAGCGACCCAAGCGCAACGCAGTTGATGAATTTCGACAGGTTGAGAAGAACATGAGGGTTACGGGGTCACAGGTTAGCCCCAAATTAGGGGCCAAGAGATTTCGCCATCGCTTTTCCCCGGACGATGAACTCGAGCAGTTCTTCACTGAAAATGCTGCCCGGGAAAGGCGCTTTTCAATACCGAGTGTGAAGCATGAGGTTCTTCAGAGTGTTGAGATCCAAAAGCCACCGCGACTCGATAGGTCCGGGAGTCCATCCCTTCACAGTCATCCGACGAATGAACGAAGGGACTCAGAATCGCGAGAAAGCCCAGATGAACTGCAAGGGGCGGCGACGGTGCAGCCCGCCCCGGAGCTTTCCCGCGACCTTCGTAAGAAAGACGTCAGGGGCGGCATTAACGCTGGGAAGCAAGTGGCCCAAAGGAAGTCTTCACCAGCCGATATCCGACCGACTGTCTTCATCCCTTCGTCGCATCCAGGGCAAGGAAAATTCAAGCGCAAGGACACCAGATCTGGAACACATCCTAGTGCCGACCGGTCTTTTAAAGCAACCTCTGTTCGATTCGGTACTATCACCGGACCTTCCTCGGGCGATGAGACCGTCGAGGTACTTGTTGATCCAATCAATGAGAAAATCAAAATGACCGGGCCCGACCCCGCCAGTTCGTTTCAGATACCCTTCAGCAAAGTTTTCAAGATCTTTCGAGGAACCCCGCCAAGCTCTAAAGTTAGGCTCGCTCTCAGGCCCGAAGGTACCGGTGATCAATCGGTGGATATAGACCTCACATCCTCGGAAGCCAAGGAAGACCTTTCCGCATTACTCGCCGCCAGTGGGGCTAGAGTCGTGGAAAAGGATGGGTACGTATTTCTCCCATTGAAGCTGTTAATCCATGCTCACCAAGTTAGTAAATGGATGGATAATGCTTTCAAAAGAAACGAAAATACGAACACCTCAGGAAGGTATCTGAACGGAATCAAGCGATCATGCACTGAGAGGGCTCCCGAACAGGGTTCCGAGACCACAGTTGAAGTACCGAAACGGCCAAAGCTTTCAGCTTCGCTGCAAAACGACCTCAATACTAACGCAGTTTCGCAATCCGGCCCAAGAGACTCGTCCTCAAATTCTAGACTTGCGAATAAGTCACGAGAAACAGCTTCCTATGAAACGACGAAAGCAACCTCTGTTAAAGCAGGTACTGAAGAGGCGGTGGAGATACCAGTCAAGAAGTACACAGGAGAGGCCACGCCTTCCAGTCGTGCAACAAGGTCCACGACGCGTCGTATGCTGCCGACGACAGTGGTTTCGTGAGTATGAGCTGGCTTCTAGAAAGGAATTTTGCTAACCTGGAGTCGCAGCGATGGTGAAGAGGAAAAGTCGCCTCAACAGCAATGCGAAAAAATTTCGCGGAAGTGGCAGAGGTCTGTTGAACACTATTCGCTTCAATCATCGCCTTGCAGGACTAATCGACTTCATAGGCCACTTGTATACCCGCGTTTCGGCAAGAAGAAAGCTGAAGTTGACGGTCAAGATCTTGAACGACTGCGTGATAACGAGTTCTTGAACGACAACCTGATCGGCTTCTACATACGCTTCTTGGAGGATCATCTGGAACGAAACAACAAGGAAGTATCACAGAGAGTTTACTTCTTCAATTCGTACTTTTTTGCAACGCTTACGAACTTGCCTAGAGGTAAGCAAGGTATCAATTACGAAGGCGTTCAAAAATGGACGAGGAATGTCGACATATTCAGTTACGATTATATCGTGGTTCCTATCAATGAAGCGGCGCATTGGTATGTTGCGATTATATGCAATCTACCGAAACTTCCAGGAATTGCCAAGGAAGAAGCGGTGATTGATGAACCTGCGGAAGGAAGCACAGAGCCTGCAGCGCCACCAAAGCGTGACGATTCGGAGAATCCGAACGCGCCAGTGGCGGTTGGGAAAATACCTTCCGTCAGTGGAGAGACCGAAACTGGCGCTCATTCTGCACCAAATCCAGAAAAGGAGGAATTGGCAAGGGAGTCATTGGCTGCCATGAGCTTGTTGGACCAAAAAGAGATGAAGGAAAGGGAGGAGCTTGAAGTACCCCCTTCTGACGAAGAGTGGCCAGAGAAAGAGGAGAACCCCGTATCCTCTCCCGCAAAGCTTTCGAGTCCGCCAAGAGGTACGGAGCCCTCCAAGCAGGCCAATTCTCAAGACGCAAGTCAATCCTCGGTCTCAGGAAGCCAAAAGTCACGCAAGCCAAAGAGAAAACGCCAGGGTCCAAGATATGATGCATGGCAGCCGACTGTCATCACCTTTGACTCACTAAACCTGTCACGCTCTCCCACGATCAGCGTCCTGCGCAACTATCTCCGTGAAGAGGCCCAATCCAAACGTGGCCTCGAGATTGACACAACCCTGATCAAGGGGATGAAAGCTCAAGAAATTCCATTGCAGCCCAACTACTCGGATTGTGGCCTCTACCTGCTCGCATATGTGGAGAAATTTGTACAGGATCCGGACACATTTGTGACGAAGTTGCTCCGAAGAGATATGAGAGTGGAGGACGATTGGCCTCCTCTAAGGTCAGGGCTGCTTCGTTCTCGATTGCGCAAGTTTCTTGACGATTTGCATGATGAACAAGAACAACTGAGTCGCGAGAAGGCGGCTGAAAGGGCTACCATGGCGGACCGACAGCCAATATCTTATCTCCTTGGACGTTCTGAAGACAAGGCTCACCCTGCAGCTGAGAACATGGCGGATGCATCCGCAACCCGGTCTGAGAAGTCACCAAGCAGAGATGCACCACCAGAGAAGTCTGGTTTAGAGCCTGCTCAGAAGGCAAAACTAGGCGACACGCAGTCCGTGGCTAGGAGCTCGTCCAGAGATGGTACGCCAGATAGTAAGATGAAAGCGAAAAGGTCACCGCCTCAGACGATGGCAGCAAGTGCGTCAGGGAGCACTACTCGGAAGGAGGTTGTCGAGGTCCCTGACAGTCAAGAACAAGTCCAACCGGAGGATGAGACGTCGCCTTGTTTCCTTCACGTTGTTGAAGACTCTCAAGGCGGACAAGCGCGATCCCAGCCTCAGGGTCCAAAACCTATTGAAGAAGGCGCAGAACAAATACAGATACCTCATCAATCTGCGGATGACAGCATTGTTGAGGTTCAAGTCGTTGGGACGCCTCCGCCGGGGTTGTCAGCAGACAAGCGGGATGGTGTTCGAAAGAGCCCAAGGTCGCTCAAGAAAAGGGCTTGAGCATACTTGAGAGAATGCGGATTTATCTCACTTTTAACGCACACATAGACGATTTGCTCTCTCGTTTGGTGTTTCGGATGATATGGGTAGGGAAGGTCTTTTGTTCTTGCGGAATGCATGAGATACCAAGCATTGCATATGAGTTATATTGTTATTTGCGATTCCAGCATTCAGCTGCATACGTATGGTCTCACTTTTGCCATCATAAAACTGGCATGTATTCATTCTAGTGGTCTTAGATATAGACTTTTCCGGAACGAAGACGATCTAGGTTGGTAGATAACCGCTCTATGCTGGCTGTTCTCTATATTATGATATATCTGAGAACCTTTGATATTTGGGATCATGATAGTCCGACTCAGACCAAGTCACCACTCGCTTTCATCCGCATCAACCCACCACGCCATCTTATCCCTCTTGAAGGCCTCGAAGTCCCACTCCGCATCCTCCAGTCGATCCTGCCCAGCCACATAAACATACGTCAAAGCCTCCACCTCCTCCCTCTCATCCGCAAACTCCGCTCCGGCCGCATCAAGCACATCCTTCAAGTGCCGGTCCGGGTTCTTCGCAATGCTCGCCTCCTGCCGCCCTCCCACACTCAACGACTCCGCCAGCACCCGCACCCTCACCCTCTCTTTAACATACTCCGACCCCTCGAAGACATCCAACCGGTGCACGTCCCCGTCCGTCAGCCCCGAGACGACAGTCCCCAGTACGGAGGCGCTGCCGGATTCTTCTGTTGAACCTTTATCATTACTCGGGCAGGGCACGATGCCAGGGTAATCGGCTCCGCGGACGCGGTGCCGGCGGTAGCCGTGGAGGATGGCGGGCTTGAACGAGAGCATGGCCTTTTGCCAGGGTTCTGGGTCCGGGCGGCCGTGGATGACTCTGTGGAGTATTTGCGGGGCCATCAGGGTTCCTGCGTTTGTTAGTACGGATATGTGTATTTGGTGGTTTACGTAGTTGGTGTGCTGGAGTGACTGGTTGGGGTAGGTGAGAGGCGTCTGAACAGCGATGTTTGTCGTTTGGGTACGCGCTAGAGTGGATGATCATGGACAAGCAGCTCACCGTAGAAAAATAGGACGTGGTCTCCCATATCGGGTTATCTGGTGTGTACTCAGTGGTACTTCTTTGCTTCATGAGCTAGGTGACGGTGAGGTAGCTGGTGGGGTGAGCTCGGAGAGGGAAATTCTTCCGGGCTCCAGCTCGGAAAGAAGGTGCAGCTTGAGAGTTTGCAACCGTTACTAACTTGCACGGCAGGCAATGCTCGTTAACAGATGATCTCTAGAATTGCAGTTTCATAGCTCATCCCCATTGTCATGGATTCAATGAGGGGAAACCCTCGAGATAGAAAGAGGAGACCCACCGCTTATCGATAAGACACTGCTAGCGCGAGTAACTGCGCCACTGTTTATTGACCGCCCGCATCGAAAAGGCCCATGTGGCTTCAAGCATCATCGTGCCGCTTTGCCCTTGGCATCATCGGGGACGCTGGCTCCTCCTGTTCATTTCGTTCTATGCGGCTTAGAAATATTCTGATTTAACTTATTACTATCAATTAGACGAAAGACACCTGATCACACCGGAGTATCCAGGGTAAATAAACGACATGTACTCTTCCCTGAATAGAGCGCAGGGCGTCTTCGGCTTCTTTACCACCGTCGCCTTGTTTGTTGCTGGAATCGCGGCGCTGTCAGTGCTGCTGTATCCTGCGCATGATGCGAAGGCTGAGGTCTCGTTGAAAAATGCCCAGGTGTACGTTTCTTGATGATTTGAATTCATCTGGATGCTGTCTCCTAATGACTATCCAATTTGCAGAATCAAGGGTCGGCCAAATTACTATTCAACCAAGAAGGAAGAATATGCTCAGATCAGGTTCGATCTGAATGCTGGTACGTATCTCCTAAACTCCGCTCGCGATCCATAAGCTGAATCTAGACCTCTTAGACCTCTCCTCGCTCTTCAATTGGAACACAAAACAAATCTTCGTCTACGTCTACGCTTCGTACTCGTCCTCCGACAAGAAGTCCTCTCTTCTTCCCAACTCCGAGTCCATCATCTGGGACACCATCATCTCCGCCCCAGAATCGCCTTACTCGTTCAATGCCCTGCGCCAACGCTTTTTCCCGGCCAAGTCGTCCTCCCCGGCCCGCAAGAACCAGAAGCGAAGCACTTCCGCCTCGAAAAAGACCTCAGCCTCCAAAAAGGAGACTCTCGCGCCGGGCGTGCTCCGTCTGAGCAACCAAAGGGCTAAGTACCAGATCAGCGATATTACAGGGAAGCTCGCGGAGCGCAAGAACGTGACGCTCTCTGTGGGCTGGAATGTGCAGCCCTGGGTTGGTGCGTTGTGGTGGAGTCCTGGCTCTGGTGCTGTTCCCCGGACGGCCGGTACCGTGGTGAGCAGCGCGGCCTTTGATTTTCCGGCTTTGAAGGGAAGCAAGGCCTCTGCTGCTAAGGCGGCTGAATCGGGCGCTCAGACGGCCTAGAGTCTATAGAGCAGTATGTCGATGAACAATGAAGGGCAGTTTTGATTGCCAGTTTAATTCGTTGAGATATCCATTATAACTATCTTGAGTCGTTCAAAACCGTAAGAAACCATAGAAGGTAGACATGAAATGAGATGGCCATAACATTCTAACTGGAATCTCAGAGCTGGGCCTGGTCAAGGTCCAGAAAAGGGAAAACTCATACACAAAGCAACATGGCATCAGCTGCTCATCAAGCCCAAACACTCTTCGTGATGGTCCGTATGTGTTTATCATGCATGTCCTGAATCGGTCGCAGTTGGGTGAGCCGCTCAAACAGTGCTGCCATATGACCTTTCGTTGTGTCCTTGCTGAATGCGTTGCGAATACACCCCAGGAGCGGGCTTCCGAGTCATTGTGTCCGCACCGCGGTTGTGATAGTAGACGTATTCCAGATAGAAAGCATGGATATGACCCGGGAAGTATCTATGTCTATCATCAGACTGTTCCATACACCTCAAATGTCAAAGGACGGCAGAATCGAGAAGGTACTGCCTTGCAGGTGCAAAATCTAGAGAAAATGTCTACTTACCCTAGAATCGTGAGCAGAATATTGATGAAGAAATCCGCACTACAGCCCGAAATCATAAATACGCCGAGAGGAGGTACTATCAGTCAAATCCAGATTAGAGAAGTGATCATTCGTGCTGATAGTTCTTGAACGAAATCAACCAAAACAGGCAACATTCCTTTTGATCGATGGGGAATTCGACTGTGTAAAGACGAGCAACAGGGGCCTTACTGAAAAGAGTGACCAAAATCAAACATAGCATTGACGCTGTGCCTGCCATTTTGTCCACGGAGCGTCTACTCTGCTAATTTTCCGATGATTTGCCTGAGGGTTTGTTGAAGCTGGAAGTTCCCAGGAAACTGAGAAACAGGATCGCGAACAACAAGATAAATATATAGATGGGGGTGTTGTCGTCAATAGAGGAGTTGAGACGCTTCATTTTGTATGGTTGAGGCGAAAGAGGGATCAGCAGCCAACAGCCACGCCACCAAAGAGTATGATACAATCATAAGGTAGAGAGATACAATAGGCCCAGAGGACTCCTTGCAATTGTTGACAGTACATAGCTAGGGCTGAAGGCAGAAACAACTTGGCTTATGAAGCACTGATGTCATCCCGCCAGGGTCCGGGCGCGGATCATTATTTGCTACGAAGTATTCCTGTTTCGGAAATATCGACCGAGACTGACGGTCGTGGCTTTGTTGGTGCTAGCCCAGAAGTGCTATATGTGTACATTTCTGTACTTCGGTGACATCTTCTCCAATGTTGATGCTGACCGCAGTAGTGGTTATATCGTACGCCCATGTACCTCTCTACGTGTCGTTACATGTCGATCTAATAAGTCTCAACTCCTTCCACTCATGCTTCTTCCATATTCCACACAGACAAACGTGAGGTGTGTGACGTGAGATGTAACATGAGGTGCAAGTAATAGGTTGGCACATTAGACTCCTAATAATCAAACAGCATCAATGGATGCTCTTGTGGTGACTTGCTCGTTTTTGTTGCCGAGCTTTGATATCTGCAGAAACGCATCCACTCCATAGCCCTCAAGGCTATGTAACTCAAGGCTGCCTGCCCAATATTCTGCATAGACCCTGCTCATAGGAAGGCCAATTCCAAGGCGTAGATTAGGTGGACGAGAGGTGAGCGAGTCAAGTGAGCCCTCTCGGTATGTTTCCCTGTCGGCGTGTTTCCGTTCCTTGGACACTGTCAGCTCTTGCATCGTAGCTGCCATCGCAGGGACCTGTTTCAAATTCTGGAGTCGTGATTTGCTCAGAGGGCCTTTGTCGAAGGACCACAGATATGGCATAACTTCACGGGGTATGCCTCCCCCTTGATCCGATACTCGCATGATCACATGTTGAGGCGCCTCGCAGATTAGCACCTCGATGGGCGGAGGCTTCTCGGAAGACTCCTTGTATTTCTCAATGACAGCCTGGATCGAGTTGCGCAGGAGCTCGCCAATGATATACTCTAAATGGCTCAGAATATACGGGAAAGTTGCGTCAAGATGTCCCTGTACAAGGATCTCGGGGATCTTGTCCGTTCCCGAGCTTTGCCGCATCATATCCTGCGCAAGCTTTCCGCAACGTTCAATCACCTCTTTCGCATTGCACTTGAGAAATACCTCGCCGACAAAGTCTGCGTTCATATCGGTCCGGTCCTGCGAGCCTGGGAAGTGCCAGGGAGAGCTGAAAGTTTCAGTCAAGGCTAAGTGCTGCTCTGCAATGACCCGACGGGAAATCCTCTAGAGAGCGTGGGCAAATTAGCCACCCGCGTAGCAAGCGGTAGAGATCCCGGATGTTGGAAATGTCCATACCGATCGAAGGAGAGTGTTCATAAATTGATCCATCACGCCTGGTGCTACAAGATCTCGACACTCCAGAACGCCCATTGCCAACTTCGGAATCACGACGAGATGCTCTTTGAGGGTCTTACGCAGGACGTCACAAAATCTTTCGTTATCCTCTAGAGTCTTGATTTCCGGTACGACGCGAAACCGTTCAAATGCCTTGTAGTAGAGCTCATATACAAGGGAAAGATGTGGATTTGCTACAACCACATACGGCAGCTTCTGGATGTCTCGCAGTCGATGCGCGATTCTGGTTGTGGGAATCAAAAAACGCAAGTCAGGCCTGCACGGCTCAAGGCATGCAAGGGGAAAGCGCATACTGACCTGGTTGGCAGCTCTGTTCGCACGTAGTTGGCGGAACTGATGAGGCGTGATTCAGTTAATGTTCGCCCAAAGAAGGTCAATTGCCGAAGACTAATAGGCCGAATCTCGCGCTCAACCCATCTGTCACGCATAGAGTCAGCCGCAGTTGTACTTATGCTGTTAGCATTGCATACTCGTCCAGAACGGAGCCAGGTCTCCACGGAGGCGGGCTATGTGAGTTGTCAACACTGGAGTAGAACCGTACTCGAGGTTTGCAACTCAGTCGAAGCGCGTGCCAACATCGAAATGGTTGATTTTGCCGCATGATGCGGTTGACTCAAGCCGCAACGGAACTTGAAAGTTCGAGGATATCACTCCGCAGTGGATTTGACTCAGCCGGGACGGTTGACCAGTATAAGATAGATATAGCGTCTTTCGTACATGGCTCATCTGCAGTTAGCAGCTACCAACACTCCTTGACTCTCACTGGTGGCATGACATGTTGCTGGACATGTAAATTAAATTATGAGTAGGTGAGTAGAGGTGCCAGTGACAAACAATTAACCTAGGGCGGTGAGCTCGTCCTGACATGTGACGTCGACACTATCCATGAAGACTTCCAATTGCTTTGTTGATCTTCAGCAACTAGCATCAACAGGAATGTAAGTGCATTGAAGACCACATTGAATCCTATCGCTGCCGGAGCATATCTTTAGAACTATAGGGCTAATGTCAGGCTTATGATATGAAATAAAGTAACAGACACTGAGGAATTACGTGATGAGAGACAACGATTGATCCAGGGCTGCCAGCCTACCACATGACTAAGGTAGACTGGCTTGTGGGCTGCAGTATCCATTCCCAGCTTAGTACCTCTCTACACTGTGATGCCTGGTTATTCC